GGGGCAGTTGCGAGTCCTGCGTCGGCAGTACTCCGAGCTTTTGCTCCGAATGCAAACATATTCCTGAAAATGCAGTAGGGACCCCCCCCCTTCACTGATGCTTGGCATTGGAGGCATGAGGGTCTCGTTCTCCAGTTACACACTGCTTTCGCGGTTTTGCATTCTAGGGAATGTGTTGGCGGGACTTTTTCATGGGTGCTGTGCAGTGCTGGCTCAGGTCAACTCTGTAGATCCGAGGTAGTCCACCGCCTTCCCCTCAGGAAGGCATCACTGACATGGTTGAGGCATCCAGCCCTCAAATCCATATGGAACGTCTTGCTCCGCTGCTTGTGATTGTCTCGCAGTTGAGCCCTACGTCGGCCTGCTGTAGGCCCGCCTCCAGGCACAGCGATAGACACCTTCACGACTGCCCATTGGATGCATTGCGTTGTATCCTCTTTGATGCGTGCACTGTGTGCTTGAGCCTGTGGTTAATTATAGAGCCGCGCGAAGGCCTCTCTGAGCCTCCACAAGTGTACCTCTGGCGGCAACAACAGTCGAATTGGGGTTGTTGTTATACTCGCCTCCCTCACGTCGCTCCTGGAGTCGAGAATTATAGGGTTGCCCTCCCGTCCCTGAGGGAAACCGCGAGAGTGGCTGCTGTTTGTCGGCGCTGGGGAGGTATCATCGGGGCTTGGGCATCGCGCAGGCGTTTTGTGACATCGACGTCAACCTTCGCCAGTACACAGCGTGTTGTGCCCGTCGTGCGTGTGAACTGCACCCATTTCAAATTGCAGCTTCATGTTACGGAATTGATGGACTTGGGTGTCGCGCGAATGCGAAACAATGCTATACTCTTCCCCTCCTCTAGCCAGGCTAGGACCCCAGTCACTGGGCAAGTGGAGGAGGACGGTTGAGTTGCTCATGCCACGTGAGTGCGCCCGCACTCACACGGCGGTGTAGGAACCTGCATCTCTTCTCAAGGCAGTAGATCCATTTACGTTCTCTGTACAAGTTTGACGAGCAGTGACCCCTCACCGCAATTTCCGAGCAGGGGCTCAGTGAAGCGGCTCAGGGGCTCCCGTTCGGGTTGCTCCCTTGCTCCCGAGTATTACCTGCGGAGAATCTTGTGCGGGTGCGGGAGTGATTTGATGTTGGGTACGTGAGTGCGCCCGCACTCACACGCCCTAGTCCCCCGCATGAATTGACAGTTTGTTCCTGTGGCTCATAGCCCTCTCAGCCACGAACATAAAGGAGTGATGGTATTACCCGCTAACTTGCCCCCTTGTTCCGTGCCGCCAGGGCTCACAGGAGCAGGCGCCCGCTTGCCCTCCCCGAACTAACTGCCCGGCATGGCTGCTTCGTTGGTCATTGGTGGCAGCCTTTACACTGCTGTCAATGGAGATGGCGACAGTGACTGGGAAAGATGCTACCCTTACGAACACCCGGAGATCTTTTCCAGCGAGCCAATCCTCGAAGGCCACGGCCACACTTGTAGTGCTGGCTGGATATCGCTCACCAAGCTCCTCGTACTGCAAGGAATCCGCGATGCCTCGGCAGCCCAAGGACGTCCTAATCAACGGACCCTCGCCATGGTTGCTGCGGCCGAACTCGCGCACTCTGTTGGAGGTCATCGTGCCTGGCTTGCACACCACCTTCGAGATCTTTCGCAGGATCTGAGGAACGAGCTTGCCCAGGAGTACGGGGCGTTACTGGCTATGTTCAGACGTCCGCCTGGACCACAGCAGAATGCCCTTTTAGCCTGGGCCAGGCCAATCATTGTGCATAGCCAGGAAGATTTTCCAATTTACCTCATAAAAGCGCATTTGGAGCAGCATCTTTTGCTTGCATGGCGTTTCACTGCCGATAAAGTCAATTTGCTTTTGCAAGCGATGTCCGATGCTGTCCCCAATGATATGCCGTCATTCTGGAGTGGGTAGCGTGCTTCCTCGATGAACGTATTGCTACTGACATTCTCGAGCATTTAGATGACGAGACCATGCATCTGCTTGAGGACAATCGGCATTCGGATAGTGACATCTAGCGCTGACCTTGTACGAATACGGAACAAACGGCGGCCTAGTACATCGGTCGTTATCCATGGTCATGCGGCATTCCTGTAATGTCATGCTGTTGTCTTGACCGATTTGGAAAGTTGTAACCATTGATCATGTTTTACTGCTGATGTAGTCTCCAACTGAAGGGAGCTGAGTCAGGGGAAGTTGGGAGCAAGCTTGTTGTTGTGTGACATTCTTTGCGCTGGACGGCACGGCTCTCAGGCAAGACTGCCCAGTCTTCCTCTACCTTGCCCCATCAATTGGGTAGGCTGCCCCTTCTTCGCCATGGCATTGCAAGAGCCCCTTGGCCTGGAGAACCTGCAGCCTCCTCCATTGGTCGCCCCTCCGCTCGTAGCTGGGCGTGAAAACACCTGGATTACGGCGAGCCATGGCAGTTCAACCCTCCCCTTTGTTGTATCCCGGCCGAGTGCGGATGCAGGGGAAGCCAACTCGATAGTGCTTCTCCTCCCTGGTTGTGGACATTTCTATGTGGAGAATATGCACCCACTGCCTTGGCAAGGGGCCATCGAGTATCTGTGGAGCAACCTGGCTTTCAAAAAGGCCGTCATTGCCTGCGCATGGCCTGTGGCGGGGCAAGCAGGCTCACCGCCCGCCTGGATGCTGCCTGACGGTGCTGCCTGGACCAAGGCAGTGTATACAATGGAAATTCTACCGCTCCTACTGGCCGTCCAACGTGATGCGAGCCCTCGCATCTCCTTGCCCACATATCTCATGGGCCTTGGCTCTGGAGGAACCATCACCTACCAGATTGCAATTTCCGAGGCCCATGCGACCTTCCGGGCTTGTGTTTGCATGGGCCCCATTAGGCTGCCTTCTTTGCTGCCAGCCCCAACGAGCGGGGAGACACGAATTTTAGTCTATGGCGGACGAAAGGACCCGCCTGCTTGGGTTTACCTGATGGCTCTGACTGGAACGAAGCAGTCAAGCCTGCTTTGGCCGTCGGACGAGACTCTTGTGAGTCAAAAGCACGTTGCGCCTTGTGCTCGGAGAGGCTCCACTGGCTGACCACCATGGAGTGCTCTGGGCTGGTCCTACCCTTTGCTCTTGCCGTTAAGTCCCCACTGGCTGACCACCATGGGGCAACTTTCTACTTCGGATCAAGAAGGTTGACACCTGCAACGTCCCGTGCCAAGGCACGACTATGCCCCACCTGTGATGGCGGGCTTGCGAACCTTCTCGTGAACGGCCTTGGCTGGTGCTGAATGTAGTCGCATCGGTGGCTGCATGATGGTGGTTTTGTGAATCTGGCAACGTCGCCTCTTGCGACGCACCTGCGCACTCGGTGCTACATGTGTGCTCCCGGCCTCTTCGACGATTTCGAGTACTGAGTGCACAGGGTGACCTAGCAGTTCGGCGCGCTGGCTGTGGACACTTCTACGTGGAGATTATGCACTCGCTGACTAGGCAGGGAGCCATTCCCCACTTGTAGAACAACCTGGCCCTCTTGAGACTCTAGAGGGTCACCCTCGTCTGAGCTTGGCCTGCGGCAGGGCAAGTGGGCTCCCCGCCCGCGTGGATGTTACCTGAAGGCTCTGATTGGATCAAAGTAGCAATACCATGGAGATCCTTGCACTTCGGCACCAATGTGATGTGAGCCCTCCCATCTCCTTACCGACGTACCTCGCGGGTTTGGGTTTGGAGGGACCCGATGTGTGCCGACGCGCAGGCCAGCGCCAAGGTTGCGTGGCCTTGTGTGAGATGCCTGGACTGGGAGGTTCCTCGTTGTCATTATAAACCCTGTGGTGTTAAGGGGTTGGTAACTCGCTGTGGACTCTCCCCGTGGAATCGGTAGCTGTAGCTACTCTCGCCCCCCCTCTGGCCGTGCGCGGGCACCTCTCTGGGTGGGCACTTGTGCGCCAGGTTGACTGGAGAAACCTGTGCTACGCCAATGTGAATGGAGCACCCAGAGCTCGGAGCTACTCCACTGGCTGACCACCATGGAGTGCCCTGGGCCGGTCTTGCCTTGATTGTTCTTGCTGTTAAGTCCCCACTGGCTGACCACCATGGGGCATATGCACATCTTTCATCCCCCCTAGGGAGTCTGACTTGCAACATCCTTTCGCCATTGAGTGTCGGCTGTCTGTCCTTGACAACGAGTACGTGATCCGAACCTCTTCTGATGACCTCGGTTTGAATAACCGCTGTCGCACCAGTGGCTACATGATGGTGGTTTTGAGAATCTGGCAATGTCGCAATTTGCGATTCCCCCACAAGCTCTGTGCTTCCTTGTGAACCGGGACTTCATTGACGACTTCGAGTACTGAGTCCGTGGGGTATCTAGTAGTTCAGCGCGATTGCTCGCTTTGTTTCTTTGGTGTTTGTTTGCTTGGTGGTTGCTTGGTGTGTCTGGCGGATTGTGTGCGCTGACTTTGTTTCACCCTTTACGTCGAGCCCAACAAGACCGGCCTACTGTGCTACTGATGTAGTAAAGAGGCGTCAAAAAAAAAAAAAAGAGCGGTGATTGCCGGCATGCTTTGCTTGAGACGCCGTTTGCTTTCTTGCTGCGAGGGCTTAGAGCCGACGTATCCCCGAAAGTGGTCCCTGAAGTGCCTCAAGAATGCACCGAAAACACCCCGAAAGTGACCGAAAGCACCCCGAAAGTGCCCGAGAACACCCTTAAAGTGCCCGAAATGCCCAAAGAAGTGTCCAAAGAACAGCCCGAACGAACCCCTCAACTCATTAGGAAGCTTGTTGAAAGGCCTGTGGCATGTTTTGCGGCATGTTTATTGGCATGTTTTGTGGCATGTTTATTGGCATGTGGTGCGGCATGTTTTTCGGCATGGTGTTTTGCATTTGTTGATTTTGAACGACCATGGGAAAGTGCGGAGATCGCACTACAGAGCAGTGATTGTTCCGAAAGCCTTAAAGCATTTTGTGTTTCCAAGCAAGCTTTGCCCGAGAGGTGTAGCGAGTTTTCCTTTGGTGAAGATCGATTGCTCAACCATGGGCGCCAGGGCAGCCACCACAGACGATGCTCCTCGGAGCGGTCAGACGCCTTCTCCGGCGCGAAGCGATACGCCGGAGTTTTACCCGGAGATCCGCGAGGCGGAGGAATTGGAGCGTATGACTTTGGCGGAATTGGAACAACGCCAACAGATGGCAGCTGCATGTGCTGCATCGCCAGAGGCTGCTCCGAGTGGGGCTACGGGGGCGTCTGCTCCAGCTTTAGCTCCGAGGTCCGACTCCTCAGAGAGCTCTTCGTCGACCTCGTCCTTCGAAATGTCGGATGGGGAAGCCAGAGAAGCTTTGGCAGCAGCAGCAGCAGAGAGAGCCATGGGTGCTCGAACGATTGCTTTGGTGCCAACCGCTGTTTCGGATGGCGAGGAGGATGGCGAGGAGGATTGGGGTGGCTGGAAAGTTCCCAAGAGGAGTGCGTTCCAGGCGTTTTGTGGGCTCCAGCAGCAAATTTACCGCGAAAACGGCCAGGAGTCTGTTTATCAGCTCCACATGGAGCGCAACGAACCTGCGCCGTTGGCCCACGGGATCTACGGGTCGGTCGATTTTCTCAACGAGCTGAGTCGCTTGGGAGAGCCCGGCTATTTAGCTGGAATGGCTGCCGGGAGAACCGATGTGATCCCGCTTCCTCCCAAGGATTGCGAGGAAGAGGTGGTTGGAGTACCTCCTGGATATCACAGCTATATGTCCCCGTGTTACAGCCACGGGCTGCTGTACTTCGGGAAGCCGAAGGTGGGCGATCCTCCTTTTATGGAGCACGACGACTACCTGAACCTGCCTTTCCGTCGTATGGACCAAGCTGTGCTTACCACCGAGCTGGAGGACCACCACGCGCAAATCCTTTCCCAACTTACCCAGGCTGCTTCGGCCGTGGATTTTGGATGCAACTTGAAGGTCATTACCCTTGTTGTGAATCAGCTTGGGGAATCTTTGACCTCCAACAAGTCCGTGCACCCCAAGTTGCTCCCGATGTCGTACCACCTTCAGCAGGGCCACACCTTTGCCTTGTACCTCCTTGGATTGGTGAACTTGTACCAGGAGAACCACGAGAAGTACGACATTGGCCATGCGGAAAGGGTGACGTCGGAAACCACTCCGATGTGGATCCAAAGGTGCGTCTGGGAAATTATTGGGAATGTGATAAAGGACGAGGCCAAGGAGCACTACTCCCTGGAGGAATATCGGGCGTCCTCGAAAGCTGCCCGCTCCAAGGCGGCAGCCCGACCTCCGGATGGTGGAAGCGATTCAGATTCTTCCTCCTCAGGTGGTTTGTCCGTCCTGAGGTCTTCGTACGAGAATCTTGGATGGAGCTTCGTGGAAAGCCGTCGGAGCCCCCGGAAGTCACGGGGGCCGATTACTGGAACCTCCACCTTGTGCAGGGGGAGCCGGTGGGAGGTCCGGAGCCTCCATCGGTTCCACCGTTGGCGGTCCCTACGCCGCCACCTATCCCGCCATTCCGGCTTCCTCCCCGACCTCCGGCGTCGGTCTCTGGAGAGAGCAACTTCGAGGCCTGGCGGCTGTTGGATCCTTCAGAAGCTGGTTTGCCCCCTACTCCGCGTTCTGTGCCTCCAACGCCGGAAAGCCGATTGTCCGTTTCGCCAAGGCGCTCGAGGTCCCCACGGCGGATTCCACCCAATCCAGAGCTTGCATCGATCTTTGCCAGTGTAAGAGAGACGATAGCTGTGTCGGAGAGCCAGCTCCGAGATTCGAGCAGTTCGTTTCCCCCGGTTCCTCCGGGCTTGTAAGCTGTTTGTCAAAGACAAAGGGCCGACTTGCTATTTTGCCCGAAAGCCTGAAGCCGAGAAAACAATTTGCAGTGCCTTGTTTTGTGCATGTTCTTGATTTTGAGTGGCATGGAACCTTGGCATGGAGTGGCTTGAGCTTGGCATGCTTGACTTGTTGTGGCATGGAAACCTTTTGGCTTGGGAACATGAGCCTTGAGGCCCCAGAATGTAAAGAGCATCTAGTGGTAGGACCCCTAGGAGAACTTGGAGGTCCAAAGCCCCGAGTCGACATCGCGCTGGGATTCCTCGTTCTGATCTTCAGTGCCTTGGGTGGGGTCGTTGTTTCGGCCTTTTGGAAAGGGCTGTGCAAGGTGCTTAGGAAAGCCCCAAAGAAAAATCCCAAATTGTGGAAGTTGAAACCCCGAAAAGGAGGATGTTGGATTCGTATTCGCGCCCGAAAATGCTTCAAGCGTGTTTGCGTAGAACGGATCTTGTTGGTTGGTAGGAAAAGCCCGAAAGCCCCAACTAAGAGAAAGCCCAAAACCTTAAAGTTGTTGGCTTGTTTGTGGCATGTTTGGCATGTTTTGGCATGTTGTCTTGATGTGGCATGCTTTGTGTTGAAGGGACATTGCTTTGTGTTGAAGGGACATGATGAGAGAGTGCCGGAAGGAGGCTTAAAGCAGCCATTGACTGGGCATCTGCGGATGCTCAGAGGGCTGCCCCTTCCAGGAAGTGGCACAGGCTCTGATCCCTTAATCCTGGACCGTGATGATGGTGAACCGTCGTCTTCGTCTAACCAGCCGAATCGTCCCCCGCAAAACCCGGAACAGCCTCTTGAAGCCCCAATTCCACAAGGAGAGGAGATTGAAGAAAGGATTCCTTTGCGAAGCCATGCACTTCAGGTACATCGGTCCCGAGGTCATTTTCCCTATGATGTGAACTGCGAAAGCTGCTGCTCCAGTAAAGGAAAAGTCCCGGCCAGGAGACTGAAGAGGCAGCTGCAGAAGGAGAATCAAACCATTGGGGTCGATTTCTATTATTTTGGGAAACTGAGGGTTCTTCTTCTCGTACATGTTGCGTCCCGGTACTCAATGTCTATCCCCGCAATGGAACTACATGACCCGAACTTGTTATTCAACATCGATCGGTTCATCCGCGAAATTGGATTGCACCAAAAGACTTTAACGTTCAGGTGCGATAACGCACAGGGTCTGATATCCATGTGCGAGAGGGTCGCGGCGCAGAGGCGCGAGAACCCTACGACCCTACGATTGTAGATGTTGTGCCAGGATACCGTCCGCAGTCTAAAGGTGCTGTGGAAAGGCAGGTCTCTGCTATGAAGCAGGGATTTTGGTCGATATGGCTCGACCTAGAGGCGGAGATAAAGCGTCGACGACCTGTTGAAGAAGGTGGCGCCGCTTGGCAGTTACCTTTAGGTGGAATGTTGTGGCAGACTTGTTTGCTGTACGCCGCACGCAGTTTCAACTTGTGGAACTTTGACAGCAACAACAGTACCACAGCAATAGACAGGTTGCACGAGGAGATAGTCCAAAGGACTAGGACGCTTCCCTTCGGTTGTTCTGCGCAGGCCAAAGTTGGCGGTTCTAAACGACATCTAGAAAAGTTCCGGGGAGCCAAGACGGTTCGAGTGAGCTATCTGGGCCCTGTCCATCCTAGAGGTGGAGGTGTGTATGGGACTGTCATTGGAGGAGATGGAGAGATTGAGGTCTTTCCAGCGTGTGGTGGTATCTTTGAACGGGACGAACCCACGTGCGACAGCCCAACGTTGGAGCTGTTAGCTAAAGCTAATCCTCTTGTGCTTGATACACAGGACCCCGAAAAGCCTTTGCTGTTTGAACCGCCTGCGGAACCCATTGTTCCAAAAGAAGAGGAAATCGAAGCCCCAGAGGATGAAGAAATGATCCCGGAATATGTCCAGGACTACGAGCCCACGGAAATGGGTTCTGAGGGTCATGAGGGGGTAGCCGGAGGTGACCTTCCGGAGCCCGACATGGAGGACATGGAAATAGACTGGTTGACGGATCATTATCTTCAGAAGCTAGGTGAAGGACCTGACTGCCGCGCCGTGAGCAATCAAGCGGCGTCTTCCTTTGAGCTTAAGTTTGGAGGGAGTAGAATCTGTTGTCAGGTCCCCCAGCAAGCTGTTTCGGAGACCTCTGGTGAGCTGTTAGATCCCAAACTCCTCTATCTGTCCATGAAATTAGAACTAGAAGAATTGGAGTCGTTCAACGTTGGAGAAGTGGTGAGCGAGCGAGAAGCGTATCGACTTGCTAAGGAGAGCGGAAGAAGAGTTCTTTCGAGCCGTTGGGTCAATACGGTTAAGAAGCCTGGCCTTTACCGCTCTAGACTTGTTGTCCGCGATTTTGCCGCTATGACGTCCAAGGGCAAAAGCTGCTCCCGCGCACATTGCCCACAGCCCCAAGCCGTCGAGCCACTCAGGCGCAGCACCCTCCACGGAGGTTGAGCAAGCTTCCGGCACCGGCTCCAGCCCCGTCGTGGCACCGGTCGCTTCCAGTGCTCACCCTGCTGAGGAGGAGGTGCGACCTACCGACGATTCACCACCCGCAAGGCCCCGTCCAGCTTCGGAGGTTAAGGCGGAAACCTCAGAAGAGTACAGTGAAGAGTCGGAGGAGCTGGTGGCAGTCAAGGAGGAAGCCTCACCTCCGCAGCCGGCCTCCTCCTATGAGTCTTCCTCGGACACGGAGCTCCAACACGACGTGCCTCCCTCCTAGAACGCCGTCCTGGGGGATGAGATCCTGGAGCTCCGTGTTGACCGCCTCGCCAGGTCCAATAACAGGGCCAACTGGCTGGCGCAGTGTGGGGACGTGTTTCAGTTCCCCCGCCGCGTTGGCTTCCAATCCAAGTACCTGGGGCATGGGGGAAGCAGGCTGGTCCTCACCGCCCCCCATGACCTCGGTCCTCCCACCATGCCCATGGGAGAGAAGTGGAGTTCAGCTCCTTCTACCAGGGGATTTTCCCCAACCACAGCAGGGAGGTGGGGAGGGGTCACGTGACCATGGTCGGTCGACGTGGACATCACAGAGTTCGAACGACTCCTCCCCCCTCCCTCAACCTTCTCCGGGGTGGAGGTTTTGCACATGGCATGGATCCTGGGCACGGCAGCCCTGTATGGGTTCGCAGCCAGGGACGCGAATCCCCGCAACTGGGGACGCCGGGCCACGACCTCGTCCTGGTTGACGTGGCTAGCGAGGTTTTACCCCGGACTGCCCGTTTCCGCAGCGCATCCGGATACTCTCGTGGTGGAACTGGGTCGAAGCCTGCCAGCCGGTGGTCTCCCGGTGGCTCAGTCACACCGCCGCGATCTGCGGTCGGTGTTCTCCTTGCTGTACTGGCAGTTGGTAGCCTCGGGCCAAGCCAAGCCGGTGGTTGCGGCGCTCCTCCGCCAGGAGTGTCTTTACTTCACTCCCACTGGTGAGCCGGCTGTGGCGGCCCCCCTCAAAGGGACACTCCAGCCCTCCGACTGGAGGTTGCTCAGTCTCAAACCAGTGGAGGCAACCCAACTGCTTAACAAGGAGGTTTTCGGCCCCCCCCTCGGCAGTGCTCCCTGACCTGTGCCTCCTCACCGCCTCCCCCTCGGGGGTTTTGTGAGGTTCTGCCACTTCACCGCCTCCCCTTTGGGGGTTTTCCTGTAGGGCAGTAGGATGGCACCCTCTTCGGAGGTTTAGGGAGTAGAATAGCTGGCCCACCTGTGGCTAGCGGGTTCCTTTGTGTCACTTGCCGACCTCCGCTTCTACCAGGACGGACCGCCACCCACAGGGTTCCCCGTCCTTGACGGCGCAGTGACGTATAAGAGTGAGGGTACCGCAGCTTAGCAGTAGCTCAGTACCGACGGGAGAATACCTCCCCTCGCAAACTGCATTTGCTCGAAAGTGACGAAGAAAAATTCACCTGTAGTGTTTGCCCAGTTGGTGCCATGTGGTGTTTGACCATACAGAGAGAAGCATGAGAGTTTTTCTGCTGCGTGACTTGGCATGAGCATGTTTGGTTTTGCCCAAAGCATGTTTGGGTTGACTGCGACACATGTCTTGTCTTGTTGGCATGGCCTAGGATGAGTTTTGAAGCACTTGGAACTGCTTGAGAGCAGTAGTGAAGAAGTGCGTGTCAGAACTCTGAGGTTCTGTCTTGTTGCAACTCACTCCGTGTCCCCGCCACTTCGTTCGTTGCTGTTGGACGTGTAGGATGGGAGTAGGAGTGCAGAGTGGACTCTGAAGCTTCGCTGTTTTGCTGTTCGGAAGTGACCTGAAGTCCTCGAGGTGTAGACCAAAGCAGTTGCATTGTTCTTTTGCTTTACCTCCTTTGTAGAACAAAGTTGAGATGGAATTCGTAGCTTTTTGGAGCCCTTAGCTCTTGGAGAGAGCTTGCTGCAAGAACTGAAGCTTGCTGAACACTTTGGTGTTTGGCTCAAGTGCGAAGTGAAAAAGAGACAGCTGCGCGAGCTCTGCTTTTCACAGTATCGGCAGGCGTATAAGACAGCAGAAATTTCCGGGGGGAGGCGCATGGAGGAGCAAAGCGACAGATTGATGGCTGGACCCACAATAGCCTTTAGTCCCGCGGCTTGCATGACCGTTTCGGCTTGCTTGGACTTGAGACAGCTTAGGCAGAGGATGGAAGCCCAGCATGGAATTGGCCGAAAACCCAGACCCCGTACAGTCAGGGGGCACATTGTGTTTGCCTCAGGGCATATCGCTTGTCCTTTTTTCCACGGTCCGGAGCTATGAAGCGTTTGCTTTAGCAGTGCTTCTGGAAGCGTGGCAGGCTGTACAGATCAGCCGGAACGGCATTGGGCCAGGTTTTTTGCTCCAGGAGCTCCGTCGCGTAATGGTAATTCGGTAGGGATCCTCCCGCTGGCTGCCTGTGACCCAATCATGACATCCAGCGCGTGTCGAATGTGAGCTAGAATGGTGTTGGAGCCGGGTGTGCCCAGCTGCTGCGCCTCGTCTCTGAGCAGAAGCTCCACATCCTTCAGCCTGTTAATGAGC